ATATTAAAGGAACATTTTGTGCAAAGATGGACATGATAAATGACAAAAATGATAGGGACCTCACAGAAGCAGAAGACATCAAGAAGAGGTGGCAAGAATACACTGAAATGCTTTTTACTGTACTTGTTAGTGTCTTACTTTTTTAATAGTCATTCTTTTAGAATAGAATTCTCTTGGTGTGGAAGGACTAACCTTGAAGAGCTATGCTTGGTTAAACTGGACCAGAAAGCTAGACCACTCATGTCATGTTACCTGAATAAATGTGCTTCTTGAGCATGTGCAAAGTGCTGGGTTTTACACCCAAATTTAGTCTATGATTAAATAAATAGATCACATTTTCTAGGAGAAGACTGGTGGCAGGAATCCGGGAATTAAGAGAAATTTAAGATATTGTCCTGGGACAAAAAGGAGCCAGCTAGGTCTGTCTTCTTCCTAGCTGAGAGAAAGGTTTGGAGTCCCAGGCAAATGTCTTCATGCTTGCCAGCGGTACATCATCCAGAAAGCTTAGCCTGTGGTCCCAAAATCCAAATCCCTCACATTAAGACCACTCTGAAGTTAATCATTCACCAGAAGTATTTCCCTTTCCTTTTCCCTTTCTGTTCCTATTCTGAGTGCTGGTAGGATGAATGTGAAGTTCATATTGGTCCCAAAGTCCTTGAGTTTCCTTCTGAGAGCTTCAAATCTGACATGGTTTTTCATAGCTCCTATTGGCTGTGTCATTTGTTCCCATTTGTTTTTATGATAATTAGAAGCACCAATTTTTTCAGGAATAGTCAATATTCAAATTACAAACTAGATCCCCTTTCAGCACTAAACAAGGGATTGATCTGGAAAGAACTATAAGAACGAAGAAAACATTTCTGCCTAATGTTTCCTACTGCAAAGTTTTTCCCCATTCTCTTGCGCACCCATACATCACCTCCATCCTTGCTGTGGAAGGAATATAAAATACTGCCTTCCAAGCTCTGAGAATGACTTGAACTGTTGTTGAAAAGCTAGGGGGGAAATTAACTATAAGCCACACAAAAATGGAGATGACGGTTACAATAGGGAAAACATCGGATAAGTGATACATTGGTAAACTGTTGTGAAGAAATATATAAAATAAAAAGTGATTGATCACTAAACATTTGAAAACTTTTTTAAGAAGGGAGGAAACAAGCATGGCAGTCATGCAGTGGCTTTAGCACCCAAAACCATGACCCATTTGCAAAGTAAATACAGTGATGCCTCACAAGACAAAAATAATTTAATCATCGAGTCGTTTCGTATTGCAAAAAATTCATCTTGCTAAGCATGGTTTCCCATAGGAATGCATTGAAATTTAATTAATGCGTTCCTATTCGTCTTGCGAAACATGGCCACAGAAAAATTTGTCTTGCAAGTCACCAAAAAAATTGCAAAACACTTTCGTCTTGTGAGTTTTTTGTTGCGCGAGGCATTTGTCTTGCGAGGCATCACTGTAAATTGACAGGAATGTTTGCACATTGAAACAATGAGGATTGAAGCAATACATGGATTGAATCATTTTAAAAAGGCCATGCCAGCAAGATGCAGGGGGGGGGGGAATCACAGTTGGCTGGCCAGATGAACCAATGTTACTTGTACGTCATGTGAATGGAAATTTATAAAATGATTTAAGTAAAGGCAGAATCAATATAACTGGGTTGTTTTTTTTGGGGGGGGGCATGTGGATCGCACCTTTACTATGCTAAAGTAAGCCACAGAGTGGGCCCATTTAAATCAATTGAATTTATGGAAAAGTTGACTAACTAAATCCTCATTGATTCAGTGGGCCTATTTGAGTGCAATTTGCTACATTAAGCAACAAGGTTCTGGCTGCTAAAACCTTTGTAGTGGGTGTCATTTGGTGACCCCATTTTTGTGAATAGATCTTTTAATAATCTCTAAACTATTTCCTATCTAGATTATGCTGCAAGGTTAATAATCATAGTAATAAATACCTGCCCACTCTTTTCTGGCCATTGTCAAAATGGCAGTGAGTATATACATATATACTTTCTAATCCTTAAAAGATTATGGCATCCCCATATTACAGCATTATTTAAGACCATCTACAAAAACCAGAAGGCACAATAGTATAATACCATATATGCTATAATGTTGATTTTTCCATTTATGACGTATTATATTTATGTATTATATTGTAATATTGTTACAAGGTATAACAATACAGTAGTATGTTTACTGGTGTTATTCATTTGTTTTATGTTCTAAGCTGTCTTGAGGGCCTTAGTTCTGACAGAATACTGATACTTTATTAAGTGAGAAAATAAAAATCTGGAGTGTATATACTTAACCTTGCTACTGCATTATAAACAAGTCAGGATCAGCTGTTTTCCCCCATAGTTCAGTTGGATAAGCTTCCTGTTAATGAATGAATGGAGAAATTATTTTTTTTCCCTTTGCTTTGCTCTCTGTGCAGAATACATCTCTCAAGGCTTGCCAGGCCAAGTCTGATTGGCTTGAAAGTATAAAGGAGCCTACCATGGAAGATTTTTTGGATCAGAAGCAGCAACTGGAAGAAATAATGCTTCCCATCTTCACAAAATTGGCCACACCCCGTGAGTATTAGCAATTAGCAGATGGATGGTAATCATTTTCTTAGATGTTCTTCAGGTTTTTTTTTCTTTTAAGGGGAAAATGTCCTTTCAGGGAGAAGTTTAATGATTATGATGTTTTATTATATTTTATGATTTTTTGATATTTGTAAGCAGCCCTGAGTAGACACTTTATGGGGGGGTGGGGTAACAAACAAACAAACAAATAAATAAATAAATGAAATGAAATGAAATGAAGTGAGAAGAAAATGAACTCTGTAATACAACTGGGCTTTATGAAGCCACTTCTTGTCTGGTAAGATGAATTAAGGAGGGAGAGCTGACTTTAAAGAAAATTTGTGTGCCATGACTGAACTTCATTAATGAACTGATGATAAAAACTCTTCCCTTATCTACACTGACTGGTCTTCACTGATGAACCCCTGGAAAATGTCCACTGTTCAGTTTCCAAGCTTTGAACATTCAATATAGGTCTTCAGAAGTGAGATGTAAGAGGTACAGGATTCCTCTCAGACTCTCACCTCCATTTCTCAGCTGGCATTTACTAAACGTATTGACATTCATATGGTGATGTTATATACAGCATGTTCCTTCATTTACTTTAATGTCCAGCTAATGCTGGAACCCAACAAGGTTCTCTGTGTCCCTCCTTCATTATATGTCCAATTTCTCTGCAAACTTGTACCATCTTGCTACTTCCCTACTCATTATTAGAGCTAGCTGTTTCCTGATTTGCATGGGAAGTAACAATGAAACCCAGTACAGTGGTACCACGACTTATGAACTTAATCCATATTGGAACGGTGTTCGTAAGTCGAAATGTTCATTAAGGCAAAGTACCATTTCCCATTGAAATGCATGGGAACGGGATTAATCCGTTCCAGCATTTCAAAAAAATATCAAAATAAAAATAAAAGTAAACAGAGCAAGCCCCACACTGGAACTGGGGGGGAAAAAAACCCCACACAATCCAAAAACAAAACACAGAAACATAACCCCCCCCAGTCCAAACCCACCTTCCAAAACCCACCCAGAACAGTTTCTTAAAAAGAACTTACCAGTCTGAAGCCTCCTGGCGCTCTGCTGCCAGGGGCGAGTGGCTGGGGGTGAGTGGCCAAGCACCCAGCCAGCTTAAGCTTCCCGGTGCTCTATTGCCTCCGCCATGGCCGGGGGCAAGCAGCCAAGCACCCGGCCAGCTCAAGCCTCTTGGCGTCTGCTGCTGGGGGCGAGTGGCTGGGGATGAGTGCCTGGCCAGCTCAAACCCCCTGTGCTGGGTGACCGCTGCTTCCGATCACGGCAGTGGGGGATCCCCAGGAGGTCTCCAGTGGCGGCGGGGAAGCTCTCAGGGCTTCCCCGCTACCATCGGAGAACTCCTGGGACTCCCTTTTCCTAACCGTTGGGGCGAAAGAGCAGCCTCTTCGCCATCAACGGTTTGAATGGAACGAAAAAAGGCAGGGGGAATTTGAATTTCCCACCCTATTCCCTATTCATAGGTCAAGGCTCTATTCGCAAATCAAAGTAGATTTTTGCGAACGGAGCTATTCGTAAGTTGAATCGTTTGCAGGTAGGGATGTTCGTAAATCGAGGTCCCACTGTAGTTCAACCAATGATTTTGTTCCGTATTTGTTAAATATGGAAAGGGATGAGAATTGTCAGCCAATACCATTATCACATTGGATAGTTTTTAGAACTGTAGAACACCACAAGCATTTTTGAAAAACCGTCTAACACCTAGAATTTACAACAACAGTCAGAAATGCAATGGCTATATATATATTTAAAAACTATTGAATTTTGCATGTCGCCTACATTATAAAAAGAAAATAGAATATTTTTACATTGGCTGCCATTATTTCTGTAATACTGTACATACAACATACTGAATAGTTTTAAAAACTATTGGAAGGTGCAGATTTTTAAAATGATCCAGTTTATGGGGACCCTGTAAGTAATTGGTAGGCCACTGTGGGACTAAGGTTTTTGATCTGATCCATTTGGCTTTTAATACATTCTTCAAAAGGCCTACAATTCCAGTAGTGTTTTGGTTTGTTTCCTTTTTAATAAAGACAAGTTTGAATTTGAGAGGGATCTGATTACAATTTGCCTTCACAAAATGTTTCACTTATCTTCATAAGAAAGTGTACTTTCACGTAAGAGACAAATGAAATTCTTGAATATTAGGAATAAACTCAGGGCATTCATGGGATTTTTACTCATGTGGGGGGGAAACTGCATTGTCATTAAAAAACTGGATTTTTTCCCCTATGCCAAGGTTGTTTTTGTAGCATACAGCCCTTCCTTGGCTCCCTTGTTTATTGTCCGAAAAATTAGTTGTGCATGGAAAATTAGTGATGATGCATCTTTTAAGCAGGCAATGTCAACTTTGCTCCATCTAGGACTCCAAACTACTAGCCTTTCGAAGTATAGTGGTGCCTCGCAAGACGGGTGCCCTGTTTAACAGCAAAACCGCATTACGACGAACTTTTTGCGATCGCAAAAGCGATCACTTTACTATGGTTTCAATGGGGGAATTTCGCTTTGTGATGATCGGTTCTCTGCTTTGGAAACCGATTCTTGTAAAACAAAGATTTTAAAACAGCTGATCGGCGGTTTCAAAATGGCCGCTGGGTAAAAAAAATGGCTCTCCGCTCTTTTCTGGGACAGATTCCTAGCTGCACAGGCAGCGAAAATGGCCGCACTATGGAGGGTCTTCGCTGGACGGTGGGTTTCAAGCCCCTAGGAACGCATTAATCGGGTTTTAATGCGTTTCTATGGGCTTTTTAATTTCGCATTACGTTTTCGTTCTACAGCGATTTCGCTGGAACGAATTAACGTCGTAATGCGAGGCACCATTGTATATTTCTTTCCACTTCCATTTTCTGGGCCTTTTTTGGCAACGGCATTTCAAGATCTCTGCAGTCCTAGAAGGCAGACGAGTCCCTGAACCCATAAAAATTGTCAACCCTGGACTATAGCTTGAAAACATGAGCTTACGGACAATTGGCTTGTTTACAGTCTCATATACCCACCATTGTAAAATTCTACAAAACCAAGAACTATGGGAACAAATGACATATTAATATACACAATTTAAGCTGCATAATTGATTCCTTGTATGGGCTGGCTTATCTATATATGTGTGCACTGCCTAGGCTTAACAAACCAAGCCACTTTATTGTAAGAATTCCTAAAGTTTAGGACTAAGATGCCAAATCCTAAGGATACTACGGGGTTGGCTCCTGTTCAACATTATAAAAGGTGAACTTAAAAACTTAGAACCTGAGCCATTTGTGTCTCCTACTCTCACATGGTAATCAATGCAATACTTTTCAAGAATAAAAGTCATAGTAACACTTAACATTCTAGGACATTAAAAAAATCAGTACAGTATCTGAAGTATCTGATGAAGGGCAGGATCTTTGATCCTATCAGTATTCTGAGAAAGTCATAATTTTATCACTTTTGTGGCCTGATTGTGCAATGTTTGTTTGGCTGTTATACATATTTGCATTTTCCTACTTATTGCTGGCTATAACGTTTTAGTGTTAGGCACTTTTGGCTGCCCATTTATTCCAAACTAGATAACACGAAGTGACAAAGGTGGGCAGACCAAAGGGAATGTAGGAAATGTTTGAAAATAAATTTAAATGCAACTCTATCATAATTTATTTTATGAGCATAATTCTTCTTTCTTGGAGAGGCCAAATACAATGTGTGCCATACTGAAGAGATAAGGCCAATTCTCCTTAAAATGCATCAAGAACATCAGACATGAAGATGGGCTTAGAATGCTTTTAATAATTGTGATGTCAGTGGATCACAAGAACAGAGTAATGAGGCAGCAAAAAAAAAACATAACAATACTGGGGTGCATCAACAGAATTATATAGTGTTCAGTTCAAAGGAAGTAATAGTACCAATATGTTCTGCTTGGTCAGGCCTCATCTAGTATCGAGAAACCAGCTCAATATATTAGCGATGCTGTAAGGAAAAAACTCAGGACACAGAAACTTTTTCTTTTGCTCTGTCACATGCTGAGGTGTAGAGCCTCTGCCGATCCAGCTTATCAGTCTACCCCCGCACCATGTCAGTGCATATTTATTACTTCCTTAAAAACGCCCACTGCAGCAAAACTTAGCCTACCGAGTACATACTGTGGCATTTCTTATCCTATTACACCAGCTTCTGGGCAGTACACATACCCGCCCCTTATCTACATCACACCAAGCGATATGTGAGGAAATGCAGCTCTTCCTGTTGCCTCCTCGCTTACAGGACAGGCTCGCCTCCCCCTCACAGCGGACCCATAAGCTTGCTGTTGCCCCACAATCTAGGGTAGTGTCAAGCTCTGTGCATCGGTGTTTAAGAAGTTTATGGAGAAGCTGGAAAGGTATCCAAAACAGAGCACCCAAGATGGTTAATGGTTGGGAAACCAAGCCCTATTGGGAATGGTTGAGAGCTGTGCAATTTTAGTCTGGAGAAACTGTATGTGGTATGTGAAGCCATCTTCCAATATTTGGAGGGCTAACTCGGAGGATGGAGCAAACTTGTTTTCTGTGGCCAAGAGGGTGCATATAATTGATTCGAAGAACAAGAGATTTGATTAAACAGTGATTCCTGACAGCTGTTTGACTATTGGATGGATTACCATGGGAAGTGGTGGCTTCTCTTTCATGAGGTTTTTAAACAGACTGGAGGGCCATCAGTCTGGGATGCTTTAGCTCAAAACATCCCTTTCCCATCATTACTGGTTGGATCAAGACAGAACCCCTCTCCAGGTACTGTACACTTTTTTTAAGGTCAGGATCTTTGATCACATACTTGTCACATACCATATTTTTCCGTGTATAAAATGATAGTTTTTCCTTAAATAATTTGAGAAAAATGAGGGTTGTTTTATACACGGAAGGCAGCTCTTTACCACTGCCTTTTGCGAAGGCACGGGGCTTTAGCAAAAAGGAAGGGGAGTCGTTGCTCCCTTTTTGCTAACCTCCATGCCTTCTCAAAAGGTGAAGGCATGCTGTGTTTAGCAAAAAGGAAGGGGAGTAGTCTACGGCTCCAGCGCACCCTCACCTTTTGGGAAGGCACGGAGGTTAGCAAAAAGAGAGCAACGGCTCCCTTTCCTTTTTTACTAAACTCCGTGCCTTCTCAAAAGGCGAGGAAAAGCGGCAGTCACTTTGACAGCCACTTTGCCTTTTGCCAAGGCACAGGGCTTAGCAACAAAGGAGCCCTTTGATCCCTGCTTTTTCTAATTTGGGGTTAGAAAAAGGGGGGTTCATCTTATACACGGAAAAATACGGTAACAATAGCTAGGGCCCTCAAAGCCCGGGCACTTTGGAGAAGAAAATTAAATACAAGATTTTATTTTATTGGGTTCAGTTGAATTTGTAGTATCAGAATAGCTATGTGAAGAATACTTTGATGAAATATCTCTGGAATTGATGCAAAGTGCTTGTTGTCAAAATTATGTCAAATCTTAGCTTTATGTTAAAATGTAGCCCTCCTTCTATTGTTGAATTCAGTTCAGCTGTATCCAGACTAATCAACAGGGAGGGGTAGTTCAGTAATATCCAGAGGGCTTTATACAAATAGGTGATAGCAGAATTATTACATGGGAGAATGTAATATTGTGGTTCCCTATGGTGAGATTTTTTTACTGCTATTTTCTATATTTTACGGAAGCACAAGAATACTGTTTCCATGCTACCTATGAAGATTGGTGTGAGCTGTGATTTTATGTGGCATCCTAATATATTCACTCTTGGTAAAGTCCTTCCTATTTTGCAGTTATGTCATAATGTACATGATCAAACATATTTAACATAAATGAAGAACAGACACTAAATATTTTAGCAGATCTTTTCATTTTCAGAACAAAAAACAAAAGATGAAAATGTTTAGTAAAGTCATTTAACCAACATCTCCAAGTACAGCATAACAAAAGTTAAGAAGTCTTTAAATTAAGCTTTTCATTAATATTTGAGATTAATCTGAAATAAAGGCACATGGCTTCTGGAACAAACTTCAATTGTAGAAAAAATTTACTCATATTTCTAGTGGACCTGATTTCATGTGATCATTACAACATAATGTTTTGAATTTTTCTGCATACATTAGAATACAAAATTATTTGCCCCGTTAAAAAATTCCAGTGCTGAAGAGACAATCCATAGAGAATAGAAAGCAGATCAAATAAATCAGTAATACTTATTGGTGCCATGTTACAGATTCAGCTCCAAGAAGACATCCAAAACAAACGATCATAGGTCTGAACAGAACAAGCTTTCACGGTCTTGCAGCTATTAGCCAGACCAAGGATATTTGCCCAACATTTTTCAAAAAAGAATGTAACCAGAATAGTTTAGCTAGCTGGTCCTTGGCTATAACACACACACCCAACATACTTTTACAGAGGACAGTTAAATCAGCTTGTTCTATAGAGTCCTTGTGATCACCATTCTGGTTTGCTCAATCTCACTTCACAGTTTTTACTTAGGTTGAGGAGTATAACGAAGGTAATTCTTGCCAGATGGAAGGTTCTTGGCACAAATTCCTCCTGGGAACAACTTTTTGGCCTCTTCATCCGAAAGACTTGGTACTACCATAACCTCATCTCCAGGCTATTGGGAAAGACAGGGAGAGAACATTAGTAAGTAGCACCTTGCTAGGACAGCTGCAGGCACACTAATCTTCCAATGCCCACCTATCACTGAAGACTAGAAATGATGGTCCATGAATGCATAAAACATCCTTGGTTTGCAACAACATATAATCTAAGGCATGATTTCATTGAAACTGCCCATGTATCCACATGATCAATGCACTACTGTGAAAATCTCTGAAGTTAGAATATCATACATTTCATTTCTTTTGCAACATGAATTTGGCCATTTTAGGTGCATATGGTTATACAAATGCACAGTATGGATTTAGACAAGCCACTGAAATTCACCTCATCCCCCATATTCCATCCAGTCAGCCCAAGCAATAAACAATTGTATTTAAAGACCTATACACACGAATGGAAAGCAAAAGACAAGGGCCCAGGCAAAATTTGACACAATGGGGTGTACTTCTGAATAAATGCACATATGGCTGTGTTGTAAAAATTGTTGAACAGTGGTTTTTTATTGCAAATAGGCATAAGTAAAATATTATATTCCCAAACTTTTATTGCTTATACTAAATATTTTGACACTTAAATAATCTTAGCACATGAAGAAGAAAAGTTGATTTATGGTGGCAGTAGGCAGGATGATGGATCAGGACCCATTTCAAAAATTTCTCAAAAACAACTAGTAATGTTCTCCTTGGAAGTTATTTGACTACCAATAGTACATACAGTTACAACATGGGGATACTTGGCTCAGTAAAACTATGAGCAAGAAGGAACTTGGAATTGTTGCAGATCACAAGCTGAATATTAGCCAACTCTGTAAGGTTGCTGTGAAAAAGGCCAAGACTATTTTAGGCTGCATTAACAGAAATGAAGTCTCCAAATCTTGTGAAGTACTAATTCCCTCTATTTGGCCCTGGTTAGGCCTCATCTGGAGTACTGTGTCTAGTTCTGGACATCGCAACAAACATGCCAACAAACTGGAACAAAACAAAGATGATCAGGGGACTGGAAACCAAGCCCTGTGAGCAAAGACTGAAAGAACAAGGAATGTTTAGTTTTTATTCTATGATTCTATATAAGTGAATCCTATAGAAGAAATTTCTCTGGCTAAAGTCATCTCAAACTGTTTCCTGTGCAGTATATTCGGCCTGTGTGAAATGACTATAACTTCCCCCTACTTTTCAGAAGGCAGAAACTGAATCTACTGATTCTTATAAAATTAGGAATATGCTTATAAATGGAAGATTTCAAAAAAATATGAGCAAGTTGCAGCCTTAAGTAAATTTGTGTTTGTGTTCTGTGCCATCAAGTCAGAACACTTATATTGACCCTACTAGGGATTTCAAGGTAAGTGAAATATTAAGGAGCAATTTTACTAGTTTCACTCCCCTAGACAGTTTCCACAACCAAATCAGGATTCGAACTCTGTTCTCCAGAATCCTTGTCTAGAACCCATTATACCAAACTGGGAGTACTAAGTAAACTTAATTAAGTATAAATAATTACCTTCCAATCAACAGGAGTAGCAACTTTCTTAGCTGCTGTCAGCTGCAGGGAGTCAACCACTCTTAGAATCTCATCAAAGTTTCTTCCAGTGGTTGCTGGGTAGAGGATAGAGAGTTTAAGTTTCTTGTCTGGACCAAAAATGAACACCTGCAAAGCGAAGCCACAGAATGAGAACCTTAAAAATTTACCACAAAGGGGCAACTAATCTTTCAGAAATCCAGTTCGTTATTTCTTTACTGGTACCATCTCTAGAACAAAAAAATTTCGTTTGGGGTGCCACTTTTAGTAGGAATACTTTCAGAAAACTGTTGTATTCAGACTTCTCACAAATACTGTTCTAACCATATTATTTGATCTTATACATGAGCCACAAGAGGACTTTCTATCAATGCACTTTATTTATCTCAAGAGGAATTAATATTTTACCATTAATGTATTGGAGTAAAATGTAACATTTCCTCTTTTTACACATTACTTTGACACTGCTTTTTCAGAAGAAACGTTAATTTTTAGAAGTTGCCCCAAACAGTAGAAGTACCTACTCTTGTTGCTTGTAATGCTACTTATTGTTGTCTTACGATTGTTTGTTGCAATATTACTTTCATGTTATATTTGCTGCTAGCACAAAGTATAAATCCCTATTGTTTTCTCCAATTTCTACAATAATCTCTTTTATAGAATTTGTATTCCAACTAAGGTCACTCCATCTTACTTTTAAGACATAAGACATAAGACATAAGAAATTTATTTGTCATTGCGCTATTTGTCATTAGATTTATTGCTCATCATATCTCTAAAGGTCTAAGCATGATGCAATATTTCCTTATTCATCCTTGCAACAAATCTAAACATTCACTAATTTCCACATAAAAAACAAGGTATGGAGATAACATACTGCTCAAGGCCCCTAGTGTGACTGAGTGGGCCTCAAGCCTTGTCAGTTCTATAGAAGACAAATATCTTCTGTTGATGAACAGATTAATCAGGCTGCTTGGTATAGCTAAGTATCATTCAGAATGTTAGATGATTTGCTATGTATCATTAAGAGACTGAAGCTTATTGTCCCTGTATCTCCCCCTCCCACTGCCCAATTGATCTCTGGGAGGCAGCTGAACTTGGAGGGTGGGGAAGCCTGAGAGACTCAAAAGCCATATTTGGCTAACAGGCTGGAGATTTCCCACACCTCTTTTACCTGGTAGAGAACTATATTACAAGGATGAAAGAATGGTTACTAATCAGCAAAGAGAGCTTCAATCTGTAGAAATTCAGTATTTAAAAGATACAGAATACTTACAACACGAGCAGTCAGAGGCATACCATCTTTGTCTCTCTCATCTGGGTCCAGCATGCCCAGCTGGACTGCAAGCTCCCGCTTTGCATCAGCAATTATTGGAAAAGGAAGATTCTCTGTGATTTCATCACCATTGTAGGCGTTAATGTCCTACATCAAGGGAAAATAAATACTGATTTATAGGTTCAAAATCATTTCCTGAATACCAGGGACTGCATGCATGCATACTTAGGAGTCAAGGTTCACTATCAATTGACTAATGTTAATAAACTACTGTTAAACAAAAATTTATACAATGGCAAATATTGAATCTGTTGTTACTGTGTCATATTGCGGCAGTTCAGAAGTCAATTTTGCCTAGGTTAAGTTATCTCGAGTTCTGCCTGCAGAGATATTAGATATGGTCTTTAAATACTGGGTGACTATATGTATGAATTTTATTCATAGTTCCAAGAAATCGAGAGTATCTCATGCAGTGAATTTTCATAATGAAAAAATGGAGGATTGTGGGACCCAAATTTTTAAGTTTATTATGTAGCATTCCAGATAAAACAAAATTTTGTATAGTTGTTGGCTTCCAAACTCTCACATGGAAGTAAAATATCAGGATTTGGAAAATCTGAAAGAAATTTTATTTTCCCCTATAAAATTAAGTTCCATACCACTGATAACCAATCCATTCCTTAGTAATGCAGCAAAATTTTGGAAAGACTAGCAAAATATATTTTCTTCTGCTCCAGTACCATGGACTCCTCTTTCATTAGCCATTCCTATTTCATGATGTTGATAAATGGACTCAATTTAATTGTGGGGAAACTGATTTATATCAATTAAGAAATCTGTATTCTGGTTCAAATCAGGGGAGCAACTGTTAAACCAAATAAGTTACTATCCCAGCCTACTGCTTTCAAATATTTCATGTTCATTTTTCTTCATTTCAAGTAGTGAAAGCACAGGCCACTAGACCACTGGTTCTTAACCTTGGGTTACTCAG